GATTATACCCTGCTGCGGTCCCTCCCCACCCCTGCCCTCCCCAGGCTCTATCCCTCAAAACTATAGGTATTTCCCAACTCAGAATTGGTAACCCTGTAATGGCCTATGGAACCACTTTCCAGACCGTTGGAACCCAGAAGGCATGGCGCAGGAGGAGGTGGTTTTCTACCTTAGCTGCCATTGGATAGCCCCAAATCAACGTAAGTCAGGGGTGGAGAGAACCATACGTGTTACCATGAGGCTGTCCTCCCATACTACCCACTTGGGGCAGCAAAATTACTTGAGAGAGCCCTGCCTTATAGCTAAGCAGAAGGAAATAAACATGGCTTGCCTCCCTCTATTTTCCCTTTCCCTCTGCTGTCCCACCAGCCACAGCCAGGACACTCACCTGGAGTTTCCTTCTAGAGCTTATTGTATTTCTTCCCACAACGAGCCTTACTCCTAGTATATAATGAAACTGATGCCCCTTATAGGAAACATAAGCTAGAAGTTTCTAAATATGATTCAGTCTTACTACCTTTGGGTTAGGAACTCTGCCCTTCATCCTTCACTTCTATTACCCTGAAATGCTATTAGTTCTGAAACGTCAGGCAGTCCTTCAAGATTTAACCCTCCACCCCAACCGCAAAATAGCTGCTCCTGCTGACTCAGAAAACACTACATTTGGCAAGTTTGTTTTTAAGGGAGAAAAGAAACTCCAAAGCCTCAGGATGCATGTAAAGATGTAAACAATGCTCTGGATCACAATCACTGAAAATGAGAGTATCTGGGCATGGTGGGGGAGGGAATAATGTATTTCTATTTGTTGCAAACAAAGTTAACTACAGACATTATTCATTCTTCTGAAGGATGTTTTCAGAGGAACACAAATATATGTATCTGGTATAAAAATGAATGTGCCACTGTATTTAATATAAGACTGAAATATTAAACAACATATAGCATGGAGCATTTACAAAGATGGTGGCAATATGGCACTTTCAGTAAGCAGATGTTACAAACCCCCCAACACTCTCCTATTGACAATGCACTACTGTAGAATTATCAAATAGGCTTTCATAATTACAGTGAAAAAGTTCCATAAGTAAAGCCCCCACTATCAAATGGATTCACTCTACCCATGCAAGCAGTGTGAATGAGGGAATCATAGACATGAACAGTCAGCAATGAATTCAGACCACTTCCATCATCATGGCAATAGCTATTCTCTGTATCTCTGACTACACAGTTCACTCTTTACAATTATTCATGTCTACATTTATCTAAGAGATGGCCAATTTAGCTTTTGTTGCAAAAAAAATTATAATGTGAGCGGGTGTTAAGTGTCCCACCTCCACTCCTAACCCTTTCATGATTTCAAGTTCAAAAGAAAATGTAGAATGTTCTAGAACTGAGTTTCTGGTATATGAAAACAGAACAGACACTTACCTGTGCTTTTGGATGTGTCTGTTGGGAGGAATGCTGAGACTGCTGTTTCTGCTGGAGCTGAGCAAGTTGCTGCCTTTGCATTTGAACTAATTGCTGTTGATGGGTTTGAAATTGTTCTTCTGTAATCCCCCCTGTTACTGTAGAAAAGGTGAATGTTTTAAAATTTACATCTAGAAGCACAATGCCATTCACAGCATACTTACAAGAATGTTGAAAAGCATTTTATGCAGATTTTAACTATCAGAAAAGTATAACAATGGAATTCACAGCATGCTTAAAAGAACACTGAAGGCATTTTATATAGATTTTAATTATCAGGAAGGTAGGAAGGACACAGTGCATATTATTGACACATGGTCAGTTAAGCAATGAACAGAAGCTTAATGAAACTATTCATTGTGTCTTGCAGCTAACAGTAAAGTGCCCACTTCTATCACATCACTAAATAAACAGTTTATTTATCTGTCCCACATCTGGTCATACATATGGTCTTAATGCAATTATTAATTATGTGGAGAAATGCCATACATCCCAGAATTTCACGTTAGAATTTCAATAATTGCATCTGTACTCTTTACATGCCCCAAGACACCTTTCTACAGGAGACAAACATCTGGAAACACAGTGCCTGAATGAACAGGTTATTTAATTTTTCTTTTAAAAACACCATCATAATGGAACTCCAGCTAACATCCATATTTAAAACTACGACTGATTAATGAATGAAATGAAGTGAAATTAGTTCCAGATGAGTAGCCATGTTTGCCTTTAGCAGCAAAATAAAACCGGAATTCAGTGGCACCTTAGAGACCAACTTGTTTTATTGGATTAATCCACAATTAATGGGATGGATCCAACAGAGCGCTTCTGTGAACAAAATGTGACTCTCTCACCTCTTGCTGCAGCCCAAAATGACCCCAAAATGCTATTCCAGACAGGCGCAACATTTGGGGGAAAGATTTTAGGCTGCTGCAAGAGGGGGGAGGCTAGAAAGTTAAACTCTTCTGGATCTAAGTCATTACTATAATATTCTACAGTCCAAAGGGGATTCTTAAAGAAATTTTGCTTTAAAAATATTAACGTCGTCTTAGAGATTTTGAAAACTAGTGATTTCCTGATAAAAGGAATTTCTTAATGAAGAAAGCACTTCAGGTTGCTACATTTGCAGGATAGCAGGGTGATTGCCAATAAGATTTCAGGCTAGCACATTCCACAGGAAAAGGGAGAGCTCAGTGCTTTGCATTCCATATGTTAAAAAGAAACATGACGTTTCTAAAATTTCCTAAAGTGCACTAGTGTCCCATATGAATTTACATGCCTATTCTGCATAATGTACAACTGATAGAAATCTTCACTTTTCTCACAGAAGCATTATCAGTAGAGCATAACTGTCACGTGTGAAGCTGGCCTTAAACTTTTAACAGCCACCCCATCATTCATTTTTAGCACCACCCAGCTCAAGTCATTGATGTTTCTATTAATCAGAGACCTGAAGTTAACGTGTACGTTTATGTACCGATATATACTTTTATTAACCACTTATTAAACATTCTGTATAACAGAAAGCCTTATATCTACTATTTCTAAGCATATTTCTAGATGATCACTATTGCAGCCTTCACCATAATTCCTCTATGAGCAATGATCTGCCATAACTGGGAAGGGGAAGAGACAACCACAACACACAAGATGCAGAGAAGAGAGGGCATGCAAGTCTGAGGCTCTGTACAGATTTGCACAGTGTCTGGAAGAGGAAGAAGAGGAACAGGAGGAGGAGGAGGAGGAGGAGAAGACTGGATATATATCCTGCCCTTCACTACCCAAAAAAGTCTCAGAGTGGCCTACAATCTCCTCTCCCCTTCTGTCCCCACAACAGACACCCTGTGAACAGTGTTCCCTCTGAGTTAGTGTGAGCTAGCTCACAGTTTTTTAGCCTCCAGCTCACACATTTTTGTCGTAGCTCAGGAAAGATGGCTCCAGAGCAAACAAATGTATGCAGTAGCCAAATCGCTTGCTCACAACTTTAATGCCAGTAGCTCACAAAGTAGAATTTTTGCTCACAAGACTCCACAGCTTAGAGGAAGCATTGCCTGTGAGGAAGGTGGGGCTGAGAGAGCTCTCTCAAGAACTGCCCTTGAGAGAACAGCTCTGAAACAACTTGTAACTGACCCAAGGTCACACCAGCAGCTGCATGTGGAGGAGTGGGGAATCAAACCCAGTTCTCTCACATTAGAGTCTGTGGCCTTAACCACTACACCAAAGTGGTTCTGTAATGCAGGAAGATGTGCAATAGATTACAGTTACTTTTGTTGCTGAGGAACTTTCCAGAAAGTTAATTCTTTAGTTTTATTGTTATGCATACAGTGCAACCCTAGGCCAAGATATACCCTTAAAAACCTAATGACTTCAATGGGCTTAGAAAAGTTTAGGATTCTATTTAGGATTGCACTGTTAGAAACTTTAGAACATCCAAGCCCAAGTTTGTTAAGACTATTTATGGTACAAACACAGAGGATAATTAGGAATGGAACACATTGTGCTTTGCAGAATTTCAATTAGAAATATACCCAACTGAATGCTAGCCTATGTTCTCCAGACTATGGCTCAGCAACTGGCAGCCTTCTGCTGAATCCTACTCTCTACTGTCAGCCTAGCCTTCTTTGAAACGGCCCACAGGAATCAAATGGGGAAATACAAATAAAGGGTCACACAAATTATTTCTCCCATATACGTCTCCATCCCATCTGCAGACAGGAAGTAAAAGGACTGTAATGATTAGATTTACCAGCAAGTTATCCAAGGGTGGTCCCATGTATAGCTCTAGACAGCAATCTGCAATGTGTGTGCATGCATGTATATCTCACAGACACTCTATACTTGCACACACGTTAGAAGATTATCAGACTACTTCAATTTATTAAACCATCCTTTACGAGCCCAACCACAGCATTTCAAACTCTACCAATGGCTCCCATATTCCCCAAAGCAGTAAGATATCCAAGATGTACAGAGGTAGAAGAACTGGTAACGGAAATTAAGTACAGCAATTAAAAGCATGAATCTGAAGTAGATGTACAAATCTCGAACCACATACTTCCTGGACAGCCTTAGGCAAGCCACTACGTCACTACTGGCATACCACATGGGCTATTGTAAAGGAGACAAGTGTCTTTATAGCAGTGTTTCATCAATCAAAACGTGACAGTTTTCCTCACACATTTATAGACATTTTAAGCTTCTCACAACACACTGATGTGATCTTATCCAGACATTAAATACAGAAAAAGACTGAGGGGAGCACCTGATTTTTTTACTGATTTTGTATAGGTAGGAAATTCCCTTGGGTGGTTTGGGTCAGATGCTTCCCAGACCCCCAACTCTGCTAATAGCGCTATGGTTTTCTATGGAACTGAGATGTTTTTTGAACAACAAATATATAGATTTCACATATGTTGTGCCTAGCATTTCTCGCATAAAGACTACTTTCCTGTTGTGGAGCATTTTTTGTACATGAGAAACTGAGAAGTTTTACTCAAGAAATTGCCTTTACTGCTACTTAAACTACTGTGGCTATACACATACTATGACACCACCTAACATAACTGCCACATTCACACTATTTTTCAAAAGCTGCTCTACCCTCCCTTTCTCCTGGGCTAGAATACTTATCTAGCCACATTTTAAACGCCAAGCATCAAAGCAGTTTCTCCCCCTTTCTTCAATGCAGAGAAAATCCCATGTTATGAGAGTAGAAACGTAATGTCTGTCAGCTGACTCTAATTCCACTGTACCACTCTGAGAATTCCTGATAGAGTGAAATTTAATTTTTAAATGCTGAAGACATATAGGGTCAATCCAAAGCCTCTGGACAAGATCAAAGTGTGTCCCAAACACACTCCAGCCTTTGCGCACTTCTCCCTTAAGTTACTATTCAGTGCTAACAGAATGGCCAATGTTAATGACAGTATCATTCAGACGGGCAGACGTGACTCTGTTCTGCACAAACGAGAACAGCAGTTTTGATTAAGAATATAGGATCAGAGACTCCCAACAGTTTATTATATACTAAAGCATCTGTTTCTATCACTTTGCTACAGAAGCAAATCTGTTGCTGCTGACTTATTTAGCAACCTAAGCATTTTATACACCACTTACTGAATACACCAGGAGTTAAGATAATTAAATTCTGCATATGTACTGCAGTACAGTACATAATAATGCTGCAAGGCTGTTAACAATAGGATGTTTTGGAGGTCATTCATTCATAAAGTCACCGTAAGTTGGAAGCGACTTGATGGCACCTGCACACACGGAGAGTAAACAATGTTGTGTGTGCTGCAATTCTGCAGGAGCGCACAAAACCTATAGACCGTGGTATCTGTTGCAGAACGAAGCTTCCTGAGAAACAACCAGCACAGTCCTAAGCGGAACTGCACCCTTGTCGCTCCACTGAGGTCAATGGGCTCAGGGGTCAGTCTTCTTGGGACTGCAGTTTTAATTTTTTTAGAGAAAAAAGCTTACAAGTCTCTTACAGCTATGAAGATATGCTTGAACAAAATGCGAGCCATGAATACATGATGAAATTTCAGAAATCAAGGAGATGGGCTGAATATGACTTTCAGTGGGAGCCCTGTACCCCCCAGCCCGGATTATGACTAGCAAAACTATAATAAATAATACAAAATAGTGCAAAAAGCAGATTAAACGGTATGCAAAGTGGCTTAATTTGCATAATGTATACAGGTCAGAGAACTCCACTTTCGGATTGCCTTGGTGCAGAATTTCAGTTTTTTGCTAGCACACAGGATACACAGCCCCAGCTACAATCTCAATGCATGAGAACGTGACAAGCCTTAACTGTACATTATGGCATGTATACTGATGGCAATACTATCAAGTTAAGGATGAACGTCACATGCTCAAAGCAGGGGGAAATATGCTACTCTGACACATTGAACACTAATTTAAAACCCAGCCATACTGGGAAGATATGGCTTCAATTGCTGCATTCGTGGCAAAACTATTTATCAGCCTAATGCGTGCCTACCTATGTGTAACAGAGTGGCTTTAATGCCATGCCATTTTTCTAGAACAACGGCCTTTGAACAATGGATCACAGAGCCCACTTGCTGGCTTTGTGAACCCATACGGAGCTGCCTGTTTGGTTAGCTACCTTCGGGAAGGACCTGATGCATAGAAAATAAGTGAACCATACCTCCTGCCTCTCGATGCATCTGTGCTGACAACTGTGGCAAGACAGAGAGGTGAGGCCACTCTCTGGTGGAGAGGATTCATCCATGGCTTTTACACTTGGTTTATTCCTCACTATGGTGCATCTCCTACTGCTTGTCTTGTGTCTCCTGTCCCCAGCTCTTTTGGTCTGCTGCCCATTGTCCTGGCCCTGACACTGGTAAGATCACAATTCTGGTTCCTCCTCTTCTTATCACAGGATTTCTCTTGCCGCATGACTTCCAGCTTAAGGGGTTCCATACTCAGTGGGTCCTAGATCTGGAAAGGCTAGAGACCACTGTCCTAGATTACTTGCCCTGAGACTGGTAATCTGCAAGAGTGATCTATCAATAAATCATCATCATCCCATATCTACATTCACTGAGTGAGGCTGCAATCCTATACACACTTACCTGGAAGCAAGATCCACTGACTAAAGGGGGAAAGCCAATGTGGTATCAGGATTAGAATGACAGTCTACAACTAGGATGACCAAGGTTCAAATTCCTACTTGCCATGAAACTCACTGGATGACCTTGGAATGGACAGCCTCTCTCTCACAGGCTAACCTACCTCTCAGGCTTCTTGTGAGAAAAAAAGGGCAGGAAGAACCTCATAAACTGCCTTGAGCTCCTTGAAGGCAAGGTGGGAGAGAAATGTGCCAGGTAGGTAGACTTGCCTTTGAGTACGTATGCACAGGATTACACTGTCAGTGGTTCATTCATCAGTTTAGCATTAGATTACAAAACAGTAAACACACCAAAGGCATTTTTACTTTGCTTCATTTCAAGGCTAGACAATCCCATGGAAATTTAATATGATCACCGTTACAATACAAGGCCCAAGACATTCCTGGAGTTATTTCAATATATGATTTCCAATCACTTTTCTATGGTAAATAATAGTCTTGAATTCATTTACACTAGAAGTGACTATCATATTCCTTAATAATTTATTCACTTTTTAATCACTTATACTTCTAAAAAAAAGAAAGAACAGATCTCATGAGTCTCATATAGCCACTGGTTCTGCAATTCTGTGTAGCCTAACATATATAACTGCATAAAGCCTGCTGTTTTACTCAGTAGTAAGTCCCACTGTATTTACTGAGGGTTATCTCTCAAGTAAGCATGCATAGGGCTACAAACTTTCTAACACCATAATCAAATATTTTTTAATGTCCCGAATATTTAAAAATAGTACTATCGAGTATCAGTCCACAACTGTCTATATGAAAAATATGAAATAGTATAAAATGTTAAAAATACATAAAGGATTTAAACATACACTACAAAATGATTCATGATGGAAAGCCACATATTTCTTATTGCTAGAGTTTTTAGCCATGTTGCATTTCAACATTTCAAATCCTTGCCTACCTGATATGCCATTCTTGCTGGTGTTCAATAAAGCTACAGACGGTGTAGAAGCTCTTTTATTATTCACAGCCTGCCCTGGTTTCCTTGAGGTACATTCTTCACTATCACTGTTCTGTAAGTTTAGTAGCCTCGGCTGGAAACACTGCAGTCGACATGATCTTATATTGCTTAGTATTTCAGAAAGGGATAGTCTATTTTCACAATGTTTATTGGAAGCATTGGTCCGTGAAAAATTAGAAGAAAAGTCTATGGTTTGGGAAGAGCTTGAACAACTGTTTAGCATATCAAGATCAATCTGTTTCAGGACAGGATCGTGTTCTGTAGCTATCCGGTCCATCAGCACCCTATTTAAAAAAGAAAAAAAAATTAATACAGTTGTAAGATTTTTGAGTTTTACTTTACACAAGAAACTAAAAAAAACCAACGTGAGTAGCTTTACCTGCCACCCCTGCCAACTCGTCTTCTTGCAAATCCTATACATCTTCTTGGAACAGTAAGTGTTGTAAGGCAATGCCTATACCTTAGCTTATCCAATTCTGATAGTTCTGAATTCTCATGTGAATAACTAGTTTGGTCCAAACGAGCCTGTAAAGGATGAGAAAAGAATACATTTTGAGATGATGAAGACCCCACTAGATCCCATGGGTGTGAAGCACAGAGACCACATCGAAGATAGAAAGTAAATGGCTGCCTAGAGCTATTAAGTAACAGCCATTACATGGTGGTGGTGGAAAGAAGAACCATAATGTTCAGATGGATCAGACAATAAAAAGTGAAAAGCCAGAACATTTTTTGAATGTGAACCATCTTGAATGTGAACACTCACACAGGTGAAGGAAAATCAAAGATAAGCCACACTGCTCTCCTTAATTGTGACAGGAAATTAAATATAAGTAAGTATTGCAGGAAAAGTGGCTATATCTTTTGGATCCATGCCATATATAAGATATTTCAAAAAAATTTACTTCCCCATGCTAATTAATCTAGTTTCATGAACAGATGTAAGGTGTTTTTAAAAATTACCACTGCAATCATTGCAGAGTAATTCTACTCTAAACCTACAGGATGCAATGGACTGAGACTTGAGTAACACACAAAAAAAATCTTCAAGTTGTTCACAATAATCTCATCTACCCTTCTTCCCAGGAACCACACTGTTTGCTCTCTTTTTTGTTTTGTATTTTTCATATGCCTGTGCACCTGGAAGTCATGATAACCTCTCGTGACTGGCTGTGTGTGTGCCTGTCAGCCATGACAAACTCTGGTGACAAACCCCTACTGGGGGCCTGGAAGATATTCAGAGAGGTGGCTGAATAAAACCTGCCATTGCCTCCCAACTGTTGGTATTCCAAGGTCTCCCCCATCCAAGTACTTGCCAGAGTCGACCCTGCTTAGCTTCTGAGATCTGACGAGATTGGGCTTGCCTGGGCTATCCAGGTCAGGGCCCATGTTGTTTTCTTACACATGATCCCTAAATTCCCCAGTCGGGCACCCTAGTGCCCCCCTAAGTCATGGATCCATTGTTTTCACTGCAATTTTAAATGAATTAGCCACCTGTCTGTTTCTCTCCAGATGATGTGTGGCCATGAGATATTTCTTCTCAAAGCTCTAACAAATAATACCAGCAAGAGAACTCCATGTTACAGCAACACCTGGAATGCTGGAGTCAATGACAGCAGTGACCAAAAAATTGAGTATGTCTAATATGATACATGGGAGCTGCGGTGGCTCAAGTGGTTAAGACGCTGAACTGCAGGCTGTGGAAGGTCAGTAGTTCAGCAGTTTGAGACCCGGGTGCCGCATGATGGAGTGAGCTCCCATCTCTAGTTCCAGCTCCTGCCAGCCTAGCAGTTCAAAAGATAGAAATTGCAAGTAGATAAATAGGTACCACTTTGGTGGGAAGGTAACAGCGTTCCGTGCGCCTTGGTGTTTAGTCATGCCGGCCACATGACCACGGAAACGTCTTCGGACAGCGCTGGCTCTTCGGCTTTGAAATGGAGATGAGCACCGCAACCCTAGAGTCGGATTCGACTGGCTTTCGAGCAAGGGAACCTTTACCTTTAATATGATACATAAGTAAACAGGTCATGCCAGTGGGACATATATTAAGCTAGGATCAGGAATTAAGAGCCTAGCAAGGAACAGTAGCTGGAGCTTGAGTGCAGGCAACAGTGGATGCTGCCAGTTCTACTTTAGGCCACCAGATCAAATGTAGGCATATGAACTTATCAGCATCCACCAAAAGATTCCAAAGATCTACCTCTGTAAGACTGTGTCCTCATACTATATTTTATTTTGAAACTGTCAGTGGAGCCACATGAACGGGGGGGGGGGGGGGAATTTTTTTTTTTTTTAACCTCACGGCAGAGTGACAAGTAACAGAAAAAGATGGGGGGGAATGAACAAGCTTTGTATTTTTTTGAACAAGCTTCTTTGTTTGTGTTAAAGAAACTGGCATGTCCTTTCAAAAGCCAGAATTCTTACAGCATAATACTGGCATCCTGCTCTTCTCCTGAATGCAGATGCTCCATCAGGATCATTTTCTTCCTCTGGTTCTGACACGGGTGAGGGTACCTAAGCGGCAACAAAAATTTGGTTTTAAAACATACCACTACTACTTCTGGCTCTCCTACTCCTACTCTCAGGCTCAGTGAGTCCACCTTTATCCCAAGCACCTCATGCAGTTTTAAAAGTTACCCTGGGAATGTGAATAAGGAATAAGCCGCCCTGAGCACGCTTGCGGGGAGGGCGGGGTAAAAGTAGAATGAATAAATACATAAATACATAAATAAAAATAAAATAAATTAAAATAATGCTCAGTGGCCAGCATTCAAAGTGACCATGACACATTTTCCCTGAGCACATCAGTTAACCAGCAATATTTTTAAGAAACCCAAAAACTCCACTGGGCCTGTGTAAGTCTCTTGGACAAACCGAAGCAGCCCTTGGGAACCAGCCAAGGTCTGTGCTATGACATTTCAATCCAGACCAGCAAATAAAGGCATTTTCTGTAGCTTAGTCTTTCAGTGAATCTCAAACCTATTCTAAAACAACCATGCAAGGGAGTTGCACGGCAAAATGGCTCATCTGAATTACCTGTGGGAATTCATCTTCATCTGAACTGTGGAAATCATACTGTTTAATATCACTTTTACTGATCACAGGCAAAGGCTCAGTAGTAGCCTGCTGAGGATTTATGACACTCTCAGTTTTAGGCTTCTTTGGATATTTCTTCTTCTGACGGACAACATCAGAAACTTCTTCTTTTAGAGATGAATGGTGAGCATGCTGATTGCATATAGTAAATTTTGGACAAAGAAAAAGCAACAAAGAAATACTTTGTTAGTGACAATTTATGAGTCAGGTGAGCAGTAATTCGTCACTATCATTATAGTGCAGTATCAAAAAATTAGGTCAGTCCCTTAATTCGTATAATAAAAAGGTGCATATGATATTGCTTTAAAATTGTATTTCAACATATCACACTCATTAAATCTAGTTTCCTCTCCTGTAATTTGTACTAACACAAGTTACTTTATAAGACTCTTCTTTCCCTGGCCAAGAGAAAAAAAAGTTTCTTAAAAGAAGCACAGCTCATCCTCCAAATTTCAGTTATTTCAATTACTGGAGTGAGAAAACTGAAGCCAGTTTTTTTCTGGAAAAAATAAAGGTTGATTCTATCTATATACACAGAAAAATTAACACAGAAATTAATTTACTTCTTAGCTATACTTGATTATATTGCCAGCATGATCCAGGTTCAGCA